CCAGCAGGGATAGTCACGTGTTCAGAGGAATAAAAACATACAAAGAAATAACACTAAAAGCATGTTAAATTGTTAACTAAAATCATATAATTTTATTAATTTCTGCGTACCGGTGCTTGTTTATTTATATATGTGTGTTTAAGGTTGTATGTCATTGAGGAAGAAAGTCACATCGATTTATGACAAACAGGCGGGGTGCTGAGGAGAGGAGATGGACGTCTTGAGAGTCGGTAGCGTCGAAAGTGAGTTTGGAGTTTTTAGGCAGAAATAATCCATTTTTTAGACAGGAAAGGTTTCCGTTGCATTCTGGGAGAACTTTTGCTATTTTGGTTTTACTTATTTTATTTTAAACAACGTTTTAATGTTATTTGTTTTATTTTATTTTATTAGTGATATTTATTATTAGCATTATTTTATATTTTTATTTATTAATAATAATGTTCCTACATTACTAACGTTATCTCTAAATCATTGAATGGATGATATCTGTCTATATTTCTGAGATGAGGTATTATGTACGCTATTTACATTGTTCGGATTATCGTCCTCATCTTTGTTGCCATATTTATCACAACCTTTCAGCCGTTGTATGCTCCGGCCTTCTTCAGATGTTTGGAATGTCGAACTGAACACTTTATTTCGCTCGTTGGGGTAGATTGTTCTAGTTCTTCAAGGACACATGGCACAGTGGATAAAGGCGATGGTTAGATCCAGTGACAGGACCCAAAGAGTTGTGAGTTTAATACCTGGTTAAGGCGGTGGAGAACTTGGAGAGGGAAATTAACAGGAGATAACTGATAACTGACATCCATTAGACATGGCACGTGGAACTAGAACAGTCTACACCAGCGAACGAAATAAAGGGTTCAGTTCGACATTCCAACCACCTGAAGAAGGCCAGAGCGTACAACGACCGAAACGTTGTGATAAATATGGCAAAGATGAGGACGATAGTCCGAACAATGTAAATAACAAATGGATGATGTCTAAGAAGTGGCGAGGATAACCTAAGTGTCTCAAGATTTTTCACATAAGTTTACAGTGTCGAAGGTTTTGGCAAGACCTAAGCTGACTTGAGATAGGCCTTGTTTTTGTTAATACTATTTCTCTTGAATTTGTCGCGCTATGAAGTCCATATCTATCGTTTCTCTATAAGACCGGAAGTTACATTGTGACTCTGGCAGCCTCTTATTCAAAATATGAGCATTCAGTAAAGACAGAGAGATTGGGTTAGTAGGATTCCCTCAGGATTGCCCCGCTGTAATGGATGAATTATTTTGGTGAGAAGACATATCCTTGTCTAACGCTACTCTCTGTGTTAATTTTATTCTTCCTTCCTGTAATTAAGTCGTTAAAACTCGTCCGATCTCTAAACAAAAAAAAAGTCATGGCGTTTCAGAATCTCACTTGTTAGTCTGGTCTCGGCAGAAGTGAAATGAGTGTATATATTAAAAACTACTCCTTGTCTATGGATGTAAATGAGCGTTTCTTTCGAAACGTTGATATTCATTTCTTGAAAGAAGAAGAATACGAAGAAGAAGAAGTATACGAAGAAGAAAACAACACCACGAAGAGGAAGTATACGAAGAAGAAGAAGAAAAATACGAAGAAGAAGAAGAAGAACAATAACAACAACACGAAGAAGATATATATGAAGAAGAAGAATATGAAAAAGAAGACGAAAAAGAAGAAGAAGAACAACAACAACAACAACAAAAACAAGAAGAAGTATCCGAAGACGAAGAAGACGAAGAAGAAGAAGAAGAAGAAGAAGAAGCACACGAAGAAGAAAAAGCACAATAAGAATATGAAGAATGCGAAGAAGAAGAAGAAGTAGAAGAAGAAAAACGAAGAAAAATACGAAGAAGAAGAAAAAGAAGAAGACAAGGGCGAAGAAGAACAGGAATAATAATAAGAAGAAGAAGACAACGACGACGGCCATGTCGCGGGTATTCGTTTATTTTTTATTTATTTATTTATTTATTTTTTGAGGTGACGGTGCTGATTGGTTTAATCTTCAAATAACCCCCCACCCACCCTTCGTAGAAACGAAAGAAAGCTAAAACACTAACATAAAGCAAAAGGAAAATAATGTGAAAGAATAATTGAATCGTTTGTTGGAGTGTGAGCCCGAATCTGACAGATGTTGATTTCCTTTGGCATCAAGAACCCAGCGGTAAATCTCAATCTATCCTTACACACAATGATGATCTGATGGATAGACAAAAGATTTTTTTTATTTATTCAGATTTCCTTTTGATATATCTATGTTTTTTCATCCTTTCTTTGTCACTTCTTTTTGAGAATTGACAGCTTCTGCTAGCATTATTTCCTTCTAAGAACCAATCACACAGTAATAACGTCAGAAAAAATACGAAAGCGAAAAGATGACAACGTTTGATGAAGGTGAGGTTCCGTGTGCATCAAAGTGTAAATATGAATCAAGTAACAGTGTACACGTGTATTTAGAAGGAAATACATGTATTCTGCTGTATACATCTGTGCATGTTATTCAATGACTGTGTATCTCATAATCTGAAATATTTACATGGTGTAAATATATATTTCTAAGTTCTTGGAATTTGCCTATTGAAGTTCCATCTACCTAATTCTGTTTCTACCTATCTATATATTTATCCGTGTCTTGTATCGGGCTATTTATCCATCAGACTGTTCATGATTATCTGTTTATTTACTCTGCCTCTATCAGTCACTATGCTCAAATTCTTATCTATCTATCTATCTATCTATCTATCTATCTATCTATCTATCTATCTATCTATCTATCTATCACTCATAGTTTGTTGACATATATCTTTCTATCTATCTATTTTCCACTCGTAGTCTGTTGACATCTATCTATCTATCTATCTATCTATCTATCTATCTATCTATTTTTCACCCGTGGTTTGTTGACATCTATCTATCTATCTATCTATTTTCACTCGCAGTTTGTTGACATCTATCTATCTATCTATCTATCTATCTATCTATCTATCTATCTATCTATCTATCGTAGTTTGTTGACATATATCTTTCTCTATATCTCTTTTTCACTCGTAGTCTGTTGACATCTATCTATCTATTTTCACTCGTATATCTATCTATCTATCTATCTATCTATCTATATATATATATATATATATATATATATATATATATATATACACACATAAATATATATACATATATATATAAATATTTATGTGTGAGTATATATATGTGTATGTGTGTGTGTACGTATATGTGTAAGTATGTATGTATATACGTATGTATGTATACAGGGTGCGATGGATAAATTGTAGTCTAAGTTTTGCTAAAATGAAAATAACTGACATTTTAAAGGATATATTTACCAAAATGACACAAAAATATCTTGAAATATCTTGAAGAGAAAATTTAGTCAATAAAATCGCCATTGGCTTCAGCCATGGCCTCCAGACGACTTCTCTTGCATCTCTTCTGCAAGGTATCTTTTCTTAATATGGTGAATGCCGTCATAACCATTGCCTTCAGTTCATCTTTGGTGTTACAAGGGCTTTTGTTGGCATCTCGCTCTACTTGCCCTCGCACATAATAACCAAGGGTTTGCAGTCTGGAGAGTTAGTCGGCCAGATGTAAAGAGTGATATGGCCGCAGAAATTGTCTGACACATAGGATTGGGTTCTCCTCCCTGTGTGGCACGATGCAAAGGCCTGTTAGCAGACATAGGGTCTTCCAGCAGCCACCCTGTTGGTCCAGCGCAGCACCTCCTCAAGACACTTGATGTAGGCCTCTGTGTTGAGTCTGAGGCACTTGCCAACAAATTCTGGATTTCTTTTCTTATCAAAATAATCAGATTTAGTTTTCCGAGCTATAGTAGCTTCGTAGTTACAATTAAACACATCCAACTCTTTCCGAATCCTATGCACTGTCCTCAGATTGACACCCACTCTGAAATGTTCGTATTGGAGCTTCCAGAGCGAATGCCAAGCAGTAAAACATGCCGTTCCTGATGCAGTGAATTGAGACATGGCGTCCCTTTTCCCTACTATAGGGTGTAGTCAACAAAATCAAAAACAAACAAGGCGCATAACAAAATTAAAATATAAAATGAAGATATTTTACACATCTCTCCTTCCATATATATACGTATCTAACTATTTTGTCTTAGTCTGTTAAATCTATCTATCTATCTATCTATCTACCTGAGTTAAAATCTATCTATATCTTGATTCGTTTCATCTATCTTCCATCAATCCATCAATTTATGCATTTTATATCTATATTTTCTTATGTTATATTATTTTATATATATATATATATATATATATATATATATATATATATATATATATATATATTTTTTGAAACATGGTTGGAACTGTGTATGAAAAAACATATTTTAAATCAATTAATTTATAATATTAATGCTCTGTAAATTTACATTGAGCACTATTTTTGTAAAAATAAAAATATCTATAAGAACACCGGATTTTATATCTTACTGTTCTTTCTTTTATATATATATATATATATATATATATATATATATATACATAATATACATAAATATGTGTATTACTTAAAAAGCATAAAATGCATTATTAAAAGCAATGAAATTTGCCATATTGCTTAAAAATAAAGTCCTAATGATAAATGAACTTTTACTTATTGTTGAAAAGCTTCATCGAGTTTTTTAACAATGTAAATTAAACGTTTGTGCAAATCATTAAAATCGTTCCTTAACTTTTGTCCAGTTGCTTATTTCCTTTGTTCCATTTAATCTTTATTTAAAAAATTTTTGTAACTTTGTATAATATTTATGCATTACATCCTAATCTTTATTCGGTAAAAATTTAATTGCTAATCATGCATTACTTTTTAAGTAATACACATATTTATGTCTTTGTTGTTTCCGTTCCTTATATTATGACCGCTACTGTATATATATATATATATATATATATATATATATATATATATCACTCTTAATTTGTTCATTATCTGAAACTAGCTATCTCGATTCGTTTCTCTCTATACATCTACCTATATACTCGCAGACTGTTCATATCTATCTATCTTGGTTCGTTTCTATCTAACTTTCTATCACTCAATCTATCTATCTATCTATCGATCTATATTTCACTCTTAAACTGTTCATATCTATCTATCTATCTATCTATCTATCTATCTCAGTGTTGTCATTTTCTTACTACTATCTTTACTATTCCAACTTTTAAATATTGTATATTATTTGTGTTTTATATTTTGTATTGTCATATATAAAGCCTCGATTTCAGCTCTGTTGAATGAGGGCGAAACCGGTCGGCTGTTTTTATTTCCTTTTAATTTTTTTTCTTCTATTTTTTTCATCATGAAGTGTAAAATTGGTCTTACCGTTGATATTTATATAATAATACATACATACACGCACACACACACACACACATATATACATATATATATATATATATATAGTGAAGAATATGATATATGAATTCTATATATCAGTATAATGTTATGCGAATGAATGACAAAGTGGAAATATTGTGTCTAATGCGTTTTGTCCTCTAGAATAACTTCATCGGACTAAAATAAAGGTTTTGAATTAAACAACCTATACTACATGCACAGATACTTCTAAAAATATTTTACTTAAAATTTCAGATGTGATTCCTATCGTTGCATAATTATACCCAACACAGTCCTTTTTATATCTCGCCTCCCTTTATATATATATATATATATATATATATATATATATATATATATATATATATATATTTGGTTGGATAGATGTGAGTTTGTGTGCTCTGGTTTCACGCTTTAACGATCGTCAGACAAACTCTTAATTTTTTTGACGATCGCTAAAGCGTGAAACCCAGGGTCACAAACTCACATCTATCCAACCAAATATGTTAGCTCTATCTCTGATATTGAGCACATTCTAATAAGTACCGCGCATATAATATATAAATAATTATACATATATATATTTATTTATATTTATATACAAACACTTTTCACACACACACACACACACACACACATATATATATATATATATATATATATATATATATATATATATATATATATATAATGAGAAGCCACGTATACTTTCTTAATATGTATATATAGAAAATATATTTGTAACAAACAGTTATTTCTGATGAAAAATTGAGGACAATTTGAAATATCAAATATATATATAAATAAATAAATACTTTCATAAAATAAAACATTATAATTTTCAATTTAAAACTTTATATATATATATATATACGTCTGTGTGTGTGTATGTGTGTTTGTGTGTGTGTGTGTGTTCAAAATATTTAGTTTTCGGCATTAAATAATCCATAGAGGTGTTGATATGCCGGTAAACAAAATCAACCAACATTACCAAACCGGGTACCATGTAGGCGTGATGAATTCTCAAAAAACAATCATAATAATAATAATAATAATATCGCCTACATTTGAGCCTGATGCGTATAGTTGTTGGGTATATTGAGCGTCGTATATTGTTAATCCAGTGTAACTAATTAGAAGTTCTCTTACCTCATTCAATAATAATATTCTTGTTGTTTTTCTTCTTCTTTATTAATATTATTTTTGTTCTTCTTCTTCTTTTTCTTCTTCTTTTTCTTCTTGTTCTTGTGTTTTTGTTCTTCTTCTTCTCTTCATTTACTTCTTCTTCTTCTTCTTTTTCTTATAATTATTATTATTATTATTTTCTTCTTGTTCTTCATTTTCTTCTTTTTCTTCTTATTGTTCCTGTTCTTTTTCTTCTTCTTCTTCTTCTTCTTCTTATTATTATTATTATTGTTCTTTATTGTTCTGTTTCTTCTTCTTTTTCTTCTTCTTCTTCTTCTTCTTCTTCTTCTTCTTATTATTATTATTATTATTATTATTATTATTATTATTCTTCTTCTTGCTCTTCTTGTTCTACTTTTTCTCCTTTTTGTTCTTATTGTTCCTGTTCTTATTTTTCTTCTTCTTCTTCTTATAATTATTATTATTGTTATTATTATTTTTATTTTCTGTGATTTCTGGCGTTTACACATTTCTTTCCGGGTCCTGCCCAGGGACCTAAGGTTAGAAATGGCATCATGACACTTTCCACTGACAATAAAAAAAAAAAAATACATAGATAAAGCCCTTCGTAAAGTGTGGGCTGTACTTGTCAGAACAATTTTTTGTATCTCCTTGAGGCATGGACTTCCAGGAATCCCTTCAATTAGTCTACTGCAATCTTTTCCAACCAGTCATAGGGATCAAACTACAACAAGGATTGTTGATGTTCCCATATGCCACATTTCTGAGATTTCTATTTCAAGGTCCTTGTATTTTGACAACTTTTCAATATCTTCAAAGATACATTGCAGTCAGCAGGGACTGCCATATCAATAGGAAGGCACGTTTTTGTTTGTGGTCTTTAATAACAATATCTGGGCGGTTGGCTTTGATTGTTCTGTCAGTGTGTATTGTGTAGTCCCATAGAATTGTGACAGGTCCTATCTCCGTAACCGGGTCTGGGTGGTGTTTATACCATTTTCTTTAAGTTTTCTTCCTGTAGAAGTTGCAGATTTTCCAGTGCAGATATTGGCCCACTCTGTCATGCCGAGTTTTATACTCAGTGGGTGCCAATGTCGTGCAACCTGATACAAGATGATCAATCGTTTCTGGATATTTATCACAGAATCTGCATTTTGGGCTGACACAATATTTTAGTATATGTGCTTGATAATTCCTAGTTAGCAAGCATTGGTCCTGCGCAGCATGGATAAAACCTTCAGTTTCAGCTTTCAACCCTACACTACGTAGCCACTGATGGGTACGGATTTTATCTACGTCAGCTTGTTTGGTACGGGCAGAGTATTGGCCATGAAGCGGTTTGTCTTGCCATCGCTTCTGTATCTGGTTGGTTGCATTCGTCTTTGCTGTCTTTTTTAATTATTTTACAGTTTCAGCCTGTGTATTGTGCTGTAGTTGCATCTCCACGCCCATTTGGAATTCAATTTTGAATTTGTTGGCTTCTTTTATTACGGAGTAAAGACGCTTACTACTTTCATGTTCCTTGACGCATACCATTATCCAGTCTTCTGTACTTTCCAAATATCTTTGGAGGCCAATTGTTGTAGTTTTGTAGGACAGTTCTAGTTGAACTAATCCTCTGCCTCCTTCGAATCTGGATACATACAGACGCTCAACATCAGCTTTGGGATGATGCATGCGATAGCAAGTGGGAAGCTTTCTCGTTTTGGCGTCCATTCGCTTAATTTCAGCTATGGTCTAGTTAAGGACATTAAAGCTGTATTGCACCACAGGGACAGCCAATGTGTTTATGGCTGATATTCTGTTTTTTGAGTTTAGCTCAGTATTTAGTACCAGACGTACACGCCTGTAGTACTCTTTTCTTATTTTTTCCTTCATTTGGGGGGGTTGTATGCCATGTCCTTCGCTAATTCCTAGGTACTTATAAGCTTCATCATGCTCCAGTTCCTTAATTTTTTTGACAAAATCTAAATCCATTAAGGGTGTTGCTGTAATTATTATTATTATTATTATTATTATTATTATTATTGCTCTTCTTCTTCTTCTTCTTCTTCTTCTTCTTTGTCCCCGTTCTTCTTCATCTGTCCCGATCGTATGCCTTGGTCTCTGCAAATGGTTTCTTGATGTTCTCATCATGTGGCTTGTCTTGGGTGTTTTAACATGGCGGAGTAATAATAATAATAATAATAATAGCAACAGCTAAATACGTATAGCATAGAGACACAAGTATAGAGTACCCTATGAGGATATAGAACCTACTTCGCAGTAGTAATTGCTAACAAGACAAGGTTGCTAACGATTGAGCGAAAGCAAAGGTCATAGATAATATTTTGGAACGTTATTCAAATTAGATCCCCACCCCCTCGACAAACGGTCAGTCGAATTGTTATTGAAATCATGGTGAATATATAAATAACTTCTTCGACTGTGACGTCATCAATCGGTCGCGATAATATCAGTGAACCATTCAAAGAATTTGAGAGAAGATGAATTGACAGTGAAAATCTAACGGGGGTGGGGAGGAGAAGGATAGATACGGGACTGAAAGCCATGAAAAGCCAAAGACGGAATGAGGTGAATGGGAGGGGCGACGGTAAGTGGACAGCGTATTTTTCAATTTAGAACTTATCAGCTTTCTCATCTAATAGATGTCTACGATGTCGTCCGCGAATATTCTTGAAGTTCAGACATGACAGCAGCACGAATTAAATGCTTTTAATCAGACAGTTAAAATCTGCTTAACACTCGTAAGCTTACACTACAAGAGAAATGGACTACATACAAATTCACACACATCTATCAATCTCTACGATCACGCTATCGTTCCCCCCTCTATATATTGATTAAACACCACTGTCACCAACCCCCACACATATATCTGTCTATTTAATTACATTACTAAAGTTTTCATATAAGCTGTCACACACCATGATAGAATTCACTCTCTCTCTCTCTCACTCTCTCTCCCTCTCTCTCTTTCTCTCTCTTTTTTCTCTCTCTGTCATATATATATATATATATATATATATATATATATATATATATAGATTAATGCAAATATAAAATTTTTCACTTAGCTGATTAATGTTATTTTCAGTGTCCCGACTCTAGAGTTTCGTAAACGAACCCCCCAGTAATCGTTCTGTCAGTCAATATATATCTATCTATCTATCTCTCTCTCTCTCTCTCTATATATATATATATATATATATATATATATATATATATATATATATATAAGATTAATGCAAATATAAAATTTGTCACTTAGCTGATTAATGTCATTTTCAGTGTCCTGACTCTAGAGTTTCGTAAACGAACTCCCAGTAATCGTTCTGTCAGTCAATATATAATATATATATATATATATATATATATATATATATATATATATATATATATTTCGTTAAAGAAGACTGGCAAGGTACTGCGGTTAAGATTTTTTATTTGATTTTCTTGTGTTCTTGTTGTGTTAGTTAAAAATATAAAATAAAAATCATGCTTCTTAATGGCTAAAAATACAGGCGAAAGAGGCCGGACATGCAGAACTTTTTGACAGTTTATACACATTTTGTGTCCAGAAAAGAAAATACTTGCTAAATAAAAAAGCTTAATCGCAGTACTTTGTCATTCCTGATTAAATTTTGTATAAAAGACGGATTTTTGCCCAAATACACAATATATATA